CTTATTTAGTATGATAACTTTTTTGTAGCAGAATTACACAATTTAAACAAAAGACAAGGCATTGTGATCTATCAGATATTTGTGTATGTATGTATATGTACGTACAAGTTTTAATTCTTGTCCCTTGATTTCGCATTCGAGGAAAGTGTCAGAAGGAATTTTTGACACTCCTAGAATGTGGCAACATTCTGAAAACCTGCGTGCTTTGTATTTTCCAATTAAGATTGAAATCAGACATGTAATCCACCTGTCAGCAAGGAACCGAGACCTGAAAAATCGGGGGGGGGGGGGGGGGGGTTTTTTTAATTGTCCTTCTACGTCATTCTGTGTGGTTACGCTTCATCTAGACTGATAGACAACTCAAACCAAAGTGGCAACACCGGCATAAAATAGATAGTGAAATACATGACCGGTTCAGTTTGATAGAACCCAGTTTAAAACTAAAACACTGAAATTTGAGCTGTAGATTACCTTTGACTGCAGAGTACCTTGGCCTGTCAAAAAGAGGAAATATACAACATTCTCTACAGTCTCGGAAAGTTCCTGGTGCTCCGTGCCCCTTCAGAAGGGACAGGGCCTACCATAATATCCAAAGTCTTAAGTCACACACTAAGAAATTCAGTTATTAAAGAAAAAAGTTTGCCTTATTATTGTTGCGGTTAGCTACTTAGTTTCCCTTCTGACACACTACAAACAGAAAGGGAACCTTTGGGGTCTGATCCTGCGTTTCTGGCATACTCAAAGCTCCCACTGAAGTCCATCAAAGTGTGGCAAACCTGGAGACTGCAGCATCAGGCCCCCAATTATTTCCTCATTACTCAGAGAAATCTTACCTAAAGGTTTAATTATATAACTGGAGCTGATATATATTACCCTATTTTTATTTTTTTCTCATCTGCAAGATGTCAGGAATTTGTACAGACCGTTCTTTGAGGAGAAATATTAAAGAAATGTAAAATGTCTGGATGTCCAAAAGTACAAAATAAAAGTATCTCCTCATTTGAGAGCTGAAAGGTTTAATATTCAGACTAATATTTCTCTTCTACAGCTAAGGCATCAGATTTCTAATCTGTCAACAGTCCTTTTATAAAGAGGAGATGTATGTATATTTCTATCCATTTTTAATTATATTTTATAAATTATGATCTGTATATTATTACCTCCCCACTGCAAATGGACTAGAACACATAAACAAATATCAGAAAGTCTGAGGCCCTGATCCTGCTCCCACGAAAGCCAGAGGAAGGAGACCCATAAATTTCTATGGGAGAATTACTAGGCTTCAAAGTAAGTTTGTGCTAAAGGAAGAATTGTGTGGCACCAGGTGAAGCCAGGTACAGAAGAAATGTAATTAAAGTACAAAATGTTATCATATGCTCGAAAAAGTTTTAAAATCTCCAAATTTTACAAGCATCACCAGATCTGACTAGCTCAAAAGGAAAAAAAAACCTGGCAATCTCAGGAGATAATTTAGGCTGAACAGAGAATGCAGGATAGGGCCCAGAGTGTTTATATTGAACAATAATAAATTGTCTGTGCTGGGAAACTCAACTTGAACTGCAGCTGGAAAGGTTTCTTTCCTCTTTTCTTTTTTTTTTTTTTTCCTTCACTAACTGATCTGGTTCAGCCAGGGCATAGCTGTAATTACCTTCTTCCCATCTACAGCTAATACCTCAGAGCAATAAAAAAATATGAGGGTGTTAAAAATTCAAACACTAATTATGGGCTGTTATATTTACTAAACACAGCAAAGTAATAACAAAAGTTTCAGCTTCTTGTGGCCAGCGCTGCACTATTTGATCTACCAAGTCCCTGGACCCTCTACAGTTACTGTATTACATAACAGTTAATAGTGCACTAAAATAAAATTCGATAAACACATTTATTACCAAACACGTCTAGCACAACTGCTTGCAGCTGTCTCCTCTTTCCAGCACAGGTATATCTCTGAAGAATTCATTCCTTTGTTGATTTTGGTTTTGATTTCCAATTAAGTTATATAAATAGTAGAGCAGTAGATTTTGAAAAAGGAAGCATGCACTATTTGAGTACCCCATTTAAAGTCTTATGGTAAATATTGGCTAATTCTACAATTCTTTCTGTTACTTTCCCTTATGCCTCTTTTCAGGTCTAGCAAAGGAATAAAACCGAGAGCTGCCTTAGCTCCTAGTTCAGCACTGCCACTGTCACCGCCACCACCCCTCGCATTCACATTAAACACACACAGTGTAGCTTTATAGCACTTAATAAGAATAGAGGTGTATGGATTTTTGGGGTGTCAAACAGCTGTCACAAACTGTCATCTCCACAAGAGAAACCTTGGCACACAACAAATTAACCTACACTTCTTTTTGGCTATCATTATTCATAGCCAATCAGTTGAAATGCTCCTAGTATTTCATGTGCAAATAAAACCATGAGGGGAAGACCCATGGATCAGAATAGCGGGCCAATACATAAAACAGAGGAAACAACATGCTGTCTCTGTCCTTCTGAAGTGGCTCATCATCACCCCTGCACCAACTTTCACCAAATGAGATCTAGCCTGAGGCTATATATTAAATATGCATATCAAAGCAAATGAAAAAATAAACCTGGAGAGTCAAATTGGACAAATTTGCATGCTTGAACTACTACATTTTCAGGTAGGTGCTCACAAGTGATAGCTCATTTTTTGATAGTCTTGCGTGTTTATATTAGCCATTTTTTAAAGCTTTTCCTTCTTTATGAATAAAAGTGGATTTCTTCCTGCTGGAACCTTGTACAGTGCAAATATAAATGTGTACACACACGGTAGTTTGACTAAGCTATAAAAGTGTTGAAGTTTTGTTGGGAAAACAAGCTAATACACACACACACACACAGAAAAATCCAATAAGGAGACACATTTCCCAAAACGCATGAATAAAATGTAACTATGTGATACAACTCTTCATTTCCCAGTTGGTGTTCTGGTTGCACAAATTATTGCTTCCTTTCAAAACAAATAGCAGGGGGCTAAAGTAAAAATGTTATAGCTCAAATCTCCAGGAAATAAAAGGCTTTAAATTATAATACCCAATGAAGTGGTAAACCCTAACGGGTGCAAGATAAATGGGTTGTCATATTTATTTGAGTTTGGGTTTTGGGCCACAAAAGCAAGAGGAGATTCTTCTTAGGGAAGATAATAGTTATCAAATTATCAAAATGCTAACCCCTTCCACCCCTGTCCTATCATTGTGTGTGAATTTAAATATTATAATGGCGCACTGCAAATTGGCTTGAGCATTCGCCATCTGCCAGAACCCTAAACAGGCTAGTTTATCTAATCTCTTCAATATAAACACAAGCATGCTCCATTTCTACACTTCCACTTGAAACACACTCTTGTAAAGAAACTGTACTGGAGAAACACGTACCTTTTTTTTTTTTTTCTGTTGCCCTGAATCATACACAATGACCCCCTATCTTTCAGGTTGCCACTCATTTCAATTTCTTTTCTAGTGCTCTCCCGGAATACTTATGCAGACGAATTTAGGGTTCTAAAATGCCAGAAACCAAATATTTTTGAAGGAGTGCCATGCCTCATAGAGTTTATTAGCTACGTGTGAGATAGCTGATAAGCAGAGAAACTTTTGGGAACCTCTGCACACATTTTTTTCTCTCAAAATAATAGATTTAAAATGGAAAACATGGCAAAAACCTTGTCCTGCAGTGTTTACCGAATACAAATGAGAAAATGAAAGCTAAGGCTTGGGTCCAAAAATATTTCCCGGGCTCTGGAACTAAGCCGTGCCAGAAGGGGAGCATTTAGAAGAATTTATTATTATTTTATCTCCCAGTTCAGCTTCAGTCCAGGTCTAATGTAATTATCAAGTACACACACAAACAACATGTTTTCAAAGGAAACAAAAGCTCCTAGAAAGCTCATTCTCCCTGGGCTCACAGCTACTCTTCTTAACACACTGGGAAATAAAGGCAGGCGCCTGTGCAGAAAGCATGGTTAACTTCACACCGGGTGCTAAATTAATATTTCAACCGCTAAAATATTAGACTGTATCATTTAGATTATGAGTTCAATTGAATCTAAAACTGTGTAAACCCCTTTTCCCCCCAGGGATGCGTTCCTATAAATAAACTGGAGTTCACACCCACTCTTTTTAACCAGAGCTATTCCTTCCCTTTTCTGCGGTACCAGCTGCAATCTTTCCCTTCACATCCCGAAGTCTCTCCGCGTCTACATCTTTTGAAGGATCACAAGAGCCGCTCCAAAACCCGGAAAAACAAAGGCACTCTCCTCACCACGCACACCAACGTTCAGTCCTACACACATAACACTAATTCACCAACTCCTCAAGTGTTAAAATCAACCGCTAACCTACGGTTACTCAATCATCATTCTCTCCAGCTTTCTGTAATACATTGTTAATAATTGCTTCATCAAGGTTACTGTCTTTTATTATGAAGATGCTTCAGGCGTTTGGCAATAAGTCCATATTCTGACAATAAGTTGCTCTAAAGCACGAGCATTGGAAACTCTAATGTGCTAACCCCTTTTTTGTAATGCAATGTAGTATTGCCAATAATTCTCATCACTTGTCATCCCCACGAGAGGGGAGGGGGGAGCAAATCAGCAAACTTTCTCCCTAACTTTCTTCTCTCTGTTTCCTTACATTGCTGCACTGATTGCAGAGTTGGCAACGAAGAAGAGAAAGCACCGATCCCTGCATCAAACCGACAGTCTGCTAGCTCTCCGAGCCGCCCGGACCAGGAAACTTTACAAACCGTTGCAAACTCGCTGCTTTACAGATGGAAACAGAAGGAACCTTTCCCATTTCTACAACTTTACGAAACGCGAGGGAAGAAAGCGGAAGGATGGGATCCGAGCTTGCGAGAGGTTAGAGTAGTAATGGGGATAATGCTACTAACAGACACCAGCAGCAAAACAATGAAATCGGGGACAGGTCCTCTAAGCAGGTTAAAGCCTTAAAAAGTGACACAAAGAAATCAGAAGGACTTACATGATCGGCTAAATTTGTGGAAGATCCTGAGAGTTCTTCGTGGTCTGATTTGGAGCTGCCATCCCTTTCATCGATAACGAGGTCTATTGGCATTTTTCCTTTCAAACAACTAATGTACCGATGGCAGAAGTTATCGCACAATTCATGAACCTGAAAACAGTAACAAGAATAATAGTATCAATAATGGCAAAATATCGGATTGCAACTTTTTTTTTTTTTTTGATAGCAAGAGCAACCCTCTGATCCACTCCACAAGTAACTCTAATTAAGGGGCACAATAGTTGAAGGCAAGGAAACAATAGAGAAATTGTTGCAGCACATATTATTCTCTAGAGACTTGCCGCAGCAACAAGTTAGAGAGAGAGAAAGAGAGATAGTGGGCTCAGCCTGGTGTGCAGAGGCAAATCCGACTTGCTGATAAGATCAGGACCCTGGGAGCTGGACCCAGGCGGTACCTCTGGAGCATACCCAGCCCAGGCAGGTACAGCTAGTCACTCGGGACGGGGTCGGTTTAAAGCGGGGCCAAAGAAAGGTCTGCGTGGCCGGCAGCAGCAAAGGGAAGGTACTCGCCGAGGCTGGGGGAAGAGCCGTTCTCGTCCCCGGGCACAGCCCCCTCCCCACGCCGCGCAGGGGCCCCCTGCCTCTTCCAAACATTTACTGCTTGCTTGGGGTTAATATGCCTGCCAGAGCCGGAGAAAGGCAGGACCGCTTTCATTTCTCGTTTTGTTAAACGTAGCATTTCCCAGTCAGGAGCAGAGCTTCTACCGAGGGAAGGGGTAAGAAGGATGGGAGGGGGGGTAATAATCTATACGTTTAATGACTCAGTTGAAATTACGCTGGGGAAAAAAAAAAAAAAAAAATAATGCCGGGCTGGGCTGGGCATGGCTGGGGGTGTCACATGCTCGGATGGCACAGGTTACAGTCTCACACTGCGTTTGCCCTGTCTCCTCTGGCCATGTTTACAAGTCATCCCAACAGTCAAGGGGAGGGGGGGACGGGGGGACGACGACGACAGAGGGAGGGAATGGCTTGCCCCCCGCCCGCCTCCACGGCTCTTACCTTTTCTAATTCCAAAAGGTGAAACCTTAGTACTTGTATTGCTTGGATCATCTGCAAGAAAGTTTTGAGCGAGGGGTTACGTGGGAGACAGGAGCACGGGGGCTGTGCAGAGTCGAGAGCCCGAGTGGGCGAGGGGGAGAAGGGGATTGTCAGGGCGCGCAGTCATTATCCAGGATTTTAGCTCATTGGTCACGCTCGAACGATTTCGATCAACTTTAACCTAAGCACTTGATTTTTATCATATTTATCCCAGGAGCGGTGATTAGTGCTTTATTACCGCGGTCTTGGAGAAAACCTCTTCCTCTTCTCCTCGCCCCCTCTCAACGCCCCGGCCCTCAGCCCGGAGGGTCCGCAGAGAAGTCAGCCCCACACTCCCCCCCCACCGCCCGCAGGAGAAAGGGGGGGAGGGAAGGATGAATAGTTTGGCATCTTCTTTACAAGCGGATTTAGGCACTTTGAATATTGAAATCGCTCACATTAGCAAAAGAATTACGCTAGAACTCTCCAGCTCTCTCCTCTTAAGCAGTTATTTCCTTCACTGCAGCTTCCCGTGGCTTTCAGACGGGGCTTTGCGACGCACTGGGGCTCGGGAGTTCGCCCTGCCTCACTTTCAAAGGGAGTGCAGCTCTTGGAAGCCGCTTGACGGCAGCTCCCCAGCCTGCCGGCTCCCCCCTCCCCTGCCCGCGCAGCCCGGGTGCCCGGGCCGCCGCCGCCGCCCCGGACGGCGGAGGGCGCTTGCCGGCAGCTGGCGGGGGGGGGCGGGAAGGGGGCCGGGCCAAGGGGCGGGCAGGGCCTTGCCAGGTGTCCAACTCTGGGTTCGAAGAAAAAAGTGGTTTTTCAGCGCGGACCTGCAAGAAGAAGGAAAAGCGCCGTGAATTACAGCTTCTCTCCTCGGCCCTGCAACCCAGTCACTGCTCGGGGCGGGGGACACACACACACACGACACGGGACGGACACACACACGACCCTGGGACAAAACCAGCCGGCACAGGTCAGATCAGAATCCGGCTGGACGCCCCGGAGTCAGCCGTGGTGCGAAGAGGAGCCTGCTCGGCTCCTGCCAGCCCCGTGCCCCAGGAGCCCCCTCTTCCCCATCTCCTCCCGCCCCTCTCCCGCTCCCCCGGCCTCCGAAACTCGGCCACGGTTACGTTGCCCTTTCCTTAACGCGGGAGGGCCAGGGCCAGGGCCAGGGGGCTCAGCCCGGCGGCGCGGAGGGGCT